CACTGCCTGCTCAGTGGGCCAGGCTCCTACAGGCCCGCTTCTCTTCACACCCAGCTCTGGGCAGACTGCCCTGGAGTCCAGAGTCCTCACAACAGCACCCTAGGCCCAGCAGCACCCCAGCAACTAGGAGGACACAGCTGTAAGCCACACACACCCAGTGTCAACTCAACAGCAGGTGGCTCTACAGAATCACATGGTACTGGAATGCATTTCTCCAAACAACCACTTCTGTGCACTGCCTTCCAGAAACATCTAGCACACCAAGTTACCACACAAGGACTGGCAAGTTCAAGAGCCTGCCCGGGGAGGGAGGAGGGCCGGAACCACACCCTGACTACAAAGGTTTCATCTGTTTCTCCCAAGTAGAGAAAAGAGAAACTCCACTTGATAAACGTTCAAGAAGCCAAATAAATAGAAGAAGAAAAAAAGTAGAAGGTGGGATTTTTGACAGCACCATAAATGTTGCAGACACAGCCTCCTTCCTCTGGCCACTGCCCTCCACCCCCCCAAATCTGCCTGCCTCCTTGGGTTATATGACAGCTACTCCTCCCTGGCTTCCCACCCCATACCAGCAGCTGTTCCCAGGAAAAACTCATTCCTGCCTGAGAGGGGCATGGAGCTGTGGCTGCTGGAGGCTGTGTGGCCCACAGCAGTCAGCTATTTGTACCAGAAGCTGCTCCTCCATACCAGGGCCAAGCCAAGATGCTTTGGGCAGGATGAGGCCCTTACTGGAACACCGGAAGGGATAACTGAGGTCCTGCAGGGCCTGTAATTGCTGAAAACCAGCTGTCCCTCATCCAGGAAATGCCAAATCCTTTTCTGGGCCCAGCATCCAGCTCTCAGACCTGATCAGTCTCCTCCAGTCCTGGGAGGGACCTTGTCTTCTGGTCGGAGCTTTAATCTGGCCCTGTCACTTCGCGGACTTTGGGCACCAGCCTCTCCCAGAGGGTCTATGCTGGCTGCCCTTGCACAGCCCAGGCCTCTCTGCAACTGCCAGCTGCTAGCTGGACTGCAGGGGCAGGTGGCTCCTGCATGGTTTCATGTGCTTCCTTCCTCATTTACAGTTTCCTCGAAACTGTGTAAAACCATCCAGGTTCAGGCGGACTCCTGGAATTTCAAATTCATTCCTGAAGCACATCTTTACTGCATAGCAACAACTCTATTTTTCAGCATATTGAAGATATCTTCTTGTACTTCTGTTGAGAAGTCAGTTCTCAATGAATAGACTTTCTTAGAAAAGTGTTTTTCTTCTCAAACTGCTCCGGATTTTCTCTCTATGTTTAGTTTAATTCAGTTCATTCTGGTGAATCCACACAGTTTTTCTGTTACTCACTGGCCTCTTGAATTTGTGAACTGGTATAGTTCTGGAAATATCTGCCAGAATCTCTTCACACTCTTACTCAGTCTCTCTCCTCTCCTTCTGTGACCCCAAATAAAAATACATTCAGGCTTTCTAACCACACCCCCTATATCTCCTACTTGCTGTATTTCATATTCTTGATTCTCTGGCTTTTTTCTAGGGCTATTTCCTTCTTGCCCATCTTCCAGTTCACTAATTTTCCCTCTAGTTGTATCTAATTTGTTAAGCCTGTCCACTCAGTTTTATTTTTGCTTATTGTATTTTTCAACTGCAGAAGTCCTACTTGCTCATTTTTCAAGTCTCTTATACAAAACTGTGCAATATATTCCCTGCAGGCACTGTTAAACTTCTTTTATTTTTTCACATTTATTAGGTAGTAGTTTATGACATGCACCTAAGAAATACAAAAGCTCAATGTTTAGAAGACCTACTTCTGTCCTCTGTTTACTCTCACTTGAAGAGTCCTGAATGCAGGATCATCATTAAGATCACTGCACTTGCAAAGAGAGCATTTGTAGAAACACTGTGAATCCTGGTGATGCTCTCCACAAGGTTTTGTTTTAGTTTTCACAAGCCTTTTGAGCTGCCCCAGTACAAAATCTCCTTAATTGGGGTTCAAACAACAGTGGTCTTCCCATGACTTGAAGTGAGATTGCAGGGCAGTGTGAGGGCTCTATGGTCCCAGGCAGTGAACACGCATGTGTGTTGGATTCCCAATCCTGAGGGAGTCAGGGTTCAACTCATCCTTCCATGAGGCCGCCAAGCTGGTGCCTCACTCTGGGATGATTCCTTCTGAATCAAGAAATAATCATGGAGCAATAGCAGCTAGGCTATTGGTCCAGGTAGTGCGTGATTTTTTCATAAACGTTCACTGCTTTTAAGAAATTTCTTTTCTTTCTTTTTTTGTTTTGTTTTGTGGCCTTAAAAAATTTGGGGGACGGGTACCAGGGATTGAACTCGGGACCTTATGCTGGCGAGAGGGGCAGGGGCACCACTGAGCTAAATCCCTGGCCCCAAAATTTTTTAAACTAACCTTTAGTTGTCTCCAATGGGGGAAATTATCCAGCCCGCCACTTCTGGAAAGAGGCATCCCTCCTACCATCACCTCTTCCTTTAATCCCAAAGTAAGTGGCTAAAGACACCAGCTCTCATTCTGTGGGAAGACAGCTTCTGCCTCAAGACTTGGGGGTCCCCGAGCTTGTCAGCGAGCAGATCCCCCTCGGAGGTGGGTCACTGCTCCCACCAGCACTGTCCCAAGGGCTGCTGCCCACCCTGCTTCACATGGCTTCCATGACCAACATGACCCTCTCTCTTCCCACACCACACCTGCAGGTCCACATGACATCTCCGTTAAACTCCGGAGTGCCAGACAGGAGCTGCTCAGGACACAAAAGTGTTCCACATGCCGCCTTCACACCCTCCAGCCCCGGCTAACAACAGGACAACCAGGCAGCCGGATACCTCCATCTTGCCTCACACCGCCCTCCGGTCTCCTTCTGCGCCAGGCCTTCTCCACTCCCTTTTAACCTTTGGCCCACAACAGTGCCGCTGCAACTCCTGAATTCTTCAACTTGATTTTGCAGAGCAATTTAGCTCCCTCCTCACCATCTCAAATGGATCTGCCACAGATCCTTACCTTTCTTCATCTGTGAGCCCAAGAAGGTATCCCCTGCATCAAAGTGAAACATTTTAGAAATAAATGCTGACCTTCCCTGGAAATGGAGAAATGAGGCAGTGGTTTTCTCTCAAAAGCAATTTCTTCTTCGTAACACATCCCACCTTAATAAAATCTTTACAGTCCCTAAAAAAGTTCCAAAGATACAAATTCTCTCTCCCAGAGGTGGTGATGAGTCACAGGCGGTGTTGCTCCCAGTAGTACACAGGGAAGACAGGTCCCAGCCAGGCTGAGCTCTGCAGACAGTGTATGCTTCCTGCTTGGGGTGCACTTCCTGCTTGGAAGGCCGGCATCCTTACACTGAAGCCATCACGGAAATTCTCTAAGCATTCATGGACAGAACAGGAACAATGAGGCTGCCCCAGTTAGCCTCCTTCCGAGAGGATCTTCTCTGCTATGAAGAGCCAATCCTCTAAGCAAAAGGGTGCAGGATAAAAATGCCCTACAGAAGCTGCACGGGAAATAAAGAGATGTTTTACTGGAGAACACAGACTCATACAGGGTTCCTCCGGTGTTTGCTGCCTCTCCTTTAAATAATCACCCAGAAAACCTGCGATGTGCTTCTTCCACACCTCAGCAACAGAGAAAATCAATTCAAGTATTTCCCCAACTGCAGCAACGGAGCAAATGAGCACTAGCCACAACTTTCTGACCTCCAAGAAAATATAAAATATGCCTTTAAAGGGGCACAAGAGGAAAAGAAGAACCTGTGAAGAACAAGTAATTCACATCTTTGCAAGTCGTATTTCAAAGAACTAAATGGGACCGGGGAACGCTTGTGAAATTGCTGGCAGGGAAAAGAACCCAACTACAGCCAAGTTAAATCTCAGTGTGCGTGCAGAGCGAATGAAGGTAAATGCACTGACAGAGGCAAAAAATCAGTATTTTGAGTAGATAGATTAAGAAGTAACTAAATGTAATGCTGAATCCAATAAAGTATCATTGGAAGAACTGGGCAAGACTTCATAATATGGAAATTAGGTAATAACCATTAAACATGGAGCTGAAAATCAGCTTCAATCAAGGAACAGAATGGAGTTTATAATTTGTACGGCTCCATTTGATAATGTCACTCGTGGCTACCCACACCAAGTGCCTTTCCAGTGCAGACTCCAGTGACAAACGTCTACACGGCCGGGCAGGCAAGGGCAGGCTCGGAAGCTGCTTGACCTCAGAAGGCCAGCTGCCATGTCTGAGGTTCAAACAAAGCACTATTTCTCTGTACATTCAATGAAACGATTTGCCAGCTCACCTGGGACTCTAGGAAAGAGCGAGTCTCTCCTCAGCAGCTCATCGCTGACCAGCGGGTGTCACAAACAGACGCACGGTTCTGCTTGGCATCACTTCGTTAATGCTCTGTTCATTAATTTAACAAACTATCAGGAGACTCTGCTGGGAATGGGCAAGCATTATCTCTCAACTTTCATTTAATTAAACTCCACTATTGCAATGTGACAGTCAGCACACTGCAGGGGGAATTATTTTAAGGATAAAGGTAAAAAGTATTTCAAAGCCCCCACTTAAATATGAAAGCATAATCTAAAATTGCCCGAGCACACACTATAATTTTTCTATAATATTAAAGATGTTATTTCCAGTGTTGGTAATGAATTGGATTCCATGGAGAAATTAGGCTAACCTCCTCAATAACGAAACGATGCACACAGTGAGGAGAGCACCAAAGGACAGCCACAAACAACCACTCGGTCACCCAGGTGACGACAAGGCGTGAGAGCTGCCTGCTCAGGGTGTGCCCGTTACCCTCCTCCTGGCTTCTGCCGCCTCCTGATGATGACACGGAGGGGCAGGCGTGGAGGGAGAGATGTGTACTCTATGGCTGCCTTGGGGACACACAGGTGTGAGCAGGCCTGGGCGCCGTCGGCCCACAGGGACAGCATCCTCTGAGGCCCGAGCTGCCTCCCTGAGCCCCCCACCAGCCCTCTCCCTGAACCCAGAGCTGCTTACCATCAATCCGGCTCACCAGTTCCTCCAACATCTTCACTTTCATTTGAATTCCAGGTTGGGCAAAAGTGTAGTTGTCCTAAGGAAGGAATAACAATATGTGTATCATATACATAAAATTAAAGTGTTTTCCAAAGAGGAAAAGGTGGCCAAAATAACTTCGAAACAGCAAATTTTACAGTCACATGAATTTGCAAATCTCAAGACTGTTTTGGAAATGGACTAAGGGGATGCATGGGGCTCCGCAGGACACCACCAAGGCGTCGCCCCACTGGGTCGTGCTCACTCTCAGGAAGGAAAGTGCACACTTACGATGGCAGCCGACACACGCAGAGGGAAGTGCTTCCTGGTGCATTTCTATATGCAAATGGAAGGTATTTACAGTTAAACTGAATAAATAGGCACCACAGGCCCAGTTCTTGAGCAGAACAGTCTTCGGAAATGACTGCTTCTTCGGGCACAGGGACAGCAAGTACTCAGTCCTGCCAGGGAAGCCAGCGCCACGTGAGAGTCTGAGCAACAACACTCAGGGCTGACAACACTGCACGAGGAAAACTCGGCTGCATATGTGATGCCTCTCAGACTAATGAGTCCCCAAGGCTGAGACAGAAGAACCTGCGTGGGGAGGCAGTGCGTGTTTCAAGTCAGACGGACCTAAAACAGAACCTCAGCTCCGTTAACTGTGTAACACAGGATGTGTGACCTTGGCAAGCAGAATAACCTCCCTGGGCGATAAGAATGACAGCCCTGCCTTGTAGAACAGCTCTGAAGCTTCTAGGAAACCCTTTGAGTGGTGTTGCACAGAAGGGGATTCAAGACACAATAGACACCTAGACAACAGCACCGCTATGAGGACTGCTGTCGCCACCCAGGACAGCAGAAAGGACGCTGACCCCGCCTCGTCCCACAGTGGGGATGCACAGATGCAGCTCTGGCCGGGGAGGAGTGCAGGGCGATGCCTGGGCCCAAGCCTGGAGGCTGCAGATGGAGCAGAAGTGAGAGGGCCTCACAGTGATCTCCCAGGGTGCACAGTTATCATGGGGTCCTTACACGAGGAGGACACAGGAGTTGGTGGCAAGGACTCAACCACCAGCACTGGCTCCGAGGGCCTCAGCACTGGACAGACAGGGAGGCCTATGCTCCCCTGAGCCTCCAGGAAGAACATAGACTGCAGGCACCTTGACCTCAGCCCCAAGAGGCCAGGGTCAGCACTGACCTCCAGAACTGAGACAATAAATCTATGTTCTTTTAACCACCAGGGCTACAGTAATTTTTTTATGGCAGCAATAAAAACTAATATAGAAGGTTTAGCGGATGTACTTTGTTGGAGCTTCTACAACTCACTAAGAAATAAAAAGAAGAGCACCAGGAGCCATAAAATGACAGGATTAAACCTAGGTTTCTGGGGAAGTCCAGGCTTAGGTTCTGAAGCCCCTAGTGAGCAGACAGCCTCTGGTCAGATCAGTACCCCAGCAGTTTTGTTCTCAGTCAGTGACATTGCAGAAGGCCCCACCAGCCTTGTAAGGCCACAGGCAACATGGCCTTGGGCACAGGCAGCTGCAACTTGCTAGGCAGGACTAGCACAGATGGGTGAGCACTCCAATACATCACATGGCCTTTGTGGCCTTGCAGACCAGGTGGCCCTGCTTCCCGCACACCTCGGGCACAGGTGTCTGCTGCAGGGTTGCAGACAGAGAGCAGCTGCTGCCCATCTTCCACCAGCAGTCAGAACCCAGGTCAGAAGCAGAGGGACTGATCCTGATCCCAGGTTCCTCATCTACAGGTTCAGGGTTGGAAAACACTGGAGTCAGGCATCCTGGAGGGGCTTCTCGAAGTGCCCACTATGCAGAAATCCCATGTTCTCAGAAACATCCCAGGCTTTAATGGAAGAATGATGGAGCCAGTACAGAGGAGTCAGGCCTCGGGGGGCCCACAGGACAAAGTAAGAGAGCTCCAACACCCCAGCTCGTAACTCCAGGAGGAGACTTCCAGGAGGGGACTCTCCTAGGAGGCACATAGAGCTGAGGCTGACTTCGGGCCAGCAGCAGTTTCCAAGACCAAAGTCAAATGTGAAAAGTAATAACAGCAGTTGCATCTGACACAGTGTTCTTGCTCACTCTCACATACACACACACATGCGCACGCGCGCTCACACACACCATGCACACACACATACTGTGCACACCCACTTCCTAACAAAGGCAGGAGCAGCACCCACTGTGGCACAAAGCTAAAAATGCCTGCAAGGCACTGTGGATGCTTTTGCAGACATGGAAAATGAGCAGAATCATCCCTATCCTCCTGCTGAGAGCTCTCCCAGGTGGATTTCAAGGGACAGCCTCTGGGTTCCAAACTGACATCTCTGCAAGGGGAAAAAAAGGCAGCATCTGCCAGCCGCACTCAGAGTAATGCTAGGTCCTCCGTTAGCCTGAGGACAGGAAGGAGGCCCTTTCAGAACGCAATCTCACCAGGACGACTCCCAGGGGCCCGGGCATGGTTGTTTTCTAGGTTTGCTGAGTTCTCTGATAAAATCTGGGTCCTCCTAAAAGTTGAACTCTCAAAAGTGAGGGCTGTCAGAGACCAGGCATCTAACACTCTAGGCATCTGGGCTCTGAAGGGGCATTGCTCCTCCCAGTGAGGTCTGAGCCCCTGCTGGCTAAAATGGTGGCAATGGCAGTCAAGGGAAAAGTGTGAGTTGTCATAGCTCTGGACTTCAGCAGGCATAAGAAATTTTGATTCTGGACTGCAATTCCTTTGAATGTCATCATCTTTGGACCTGAGCTTGGAAAGGTTAGCCTGTAAGATTTCATTTCTCCAGGGCAACTGGTGACAGAAGGAGGTTTATATTCAAATCTGGGGCATTCTACATTGCTGCACGTTTACAGACTGCCACTTAACCTGACAGACGAATTTCTGATAAGCCAGTTTGAACAGTACAGCTGGATAGAATTAAGGATAAGAAATACACTAGAGAGTGGTTTGCAGCCTCAGGTAGAGAAAGCACTTGGAGATCAGTCCATTAATGTTCTGTTCTGCACATTTCAGTGCCATCAGGAGTATATTCCAACAGTTCACACTTCCCTGGGGTCCCGGGACAACACCTTCAAGAGTGGGGGCCTTCAACGTGCTGTGCTAAGCACTGTGTGTTGTCCTCCACTGGCCAGGGATCTGTGCAAACACCAGGCTGAAAAGGCTGGATGTGGAGAACTGGGAGCTCTTCCCAGACCTGGGCCTTCTTCTAAATAAAAGGAGCTCAGTCAGTACCTGTATTGTATCCCCCAAAACACCCACCCCAGAGGCCACTGTGACTCCTAAACCCAGAAAGCAGCAGCCAGTGAGCTCAACACCCCTACTTCCCCAAATATCTTAGGAGTCAGCCCTTCCAGAAGGCTCTGCTGAGCAGGAGGGTGGCCTGCCAGGTGTGGCACTGGCCAGGGTAGAATGGAGGAGTCTAGACAATCCTAGGATTCAGTCAACCGGTTTATTTGGCTCCAAAACCATGATAGGATTTCAAGCCTCTCATTTAGCAGAAATAAAAGTTATTCTTTGGCCTCCATCTGCCACTATTTTGTTTTATTTCTCAATTTGCTCAAGAGCCAGGGAGGGAAGATGGGTTCTCAGAGATCCAAACAATGAGAAAAGAACAACAGCCAAAAGTCTGTTTTAAAAGGCAGGGGAATAAAATATCCACATTTTTAAAAGACCGGTCAAGGCTGGCAGGCACCTGGCTGCAGGCCAGAGCAGGAAGGCCAGCCTTTGGACCATGCCCACTCAGGGGACGCTGGGAACTCCAAGGGTAAAACCGCCACAGCAGAGGCCACTGTAGAGCACTGTGCCTGTGCCCAATGAGGAGTCCACAGGTGGCAGAAGGCCCTGCTCTGCAGCTGGGACGCCTCTGAGGGCAATCTTGGGAGCAGACACCAAAGCTAAGGACTCCCATGGGGAGAGGTGAGAGGAAGCCCTACAGCACACGGGCCTCCCCAACACCCCCAGACAGGAGAAGCCTCTCCCCACACGCCTGAGTCAGAAAGCAACTGCTGTGCAGATGCACAGATGGGCAGCAAAACAGGCACAGAGCAAGAATGCTGTGCACTTCCGAAATATTAACTGTAAGATATTAATATTACTCCCTTCATAAAAGTAAGCAGGCACATCTCCACCGAAGGAGGTTTTTATTTTGGGTCTTTAGAAAAGGATGCAATTTACAAAGTGCTCAGGAAGTCTGCAGAACTTAGGGGCCTTGAGGGAGCCATTGTGTACAGGCAGCTGGGCTCTACGACAAGCCAGAAAGGATGCCCGCCCCCACCTGCCCCGCAGCACCTGGCCTTAGTGCAGCCAACAGCACTGCTCTGCTCAGAAGAGTGAAGCTTTCTGAGAGCATCTTGAGAAGAGCAAAACCAAACACCACCATGAGCTCAGTCAGAAGGGCCCACCACACGCACCTGCTAAACCCACAGCCCCTGCCCCTCAGGCACACCCCTTTCCACCAACCTTACTCTGGCAGGAAGGTTTCTGCCCAGTGCAGACACCAAATCTGCCTTGCCAACCAGGCCCAGACCTGCCTCTGACACAACTCTGAAAACCCTTCTTGCAAAGAACAACCCAAGGCTTTCATCGGCTTCAGTACTTGCAAGGTGGACCAGCCCATAGCCCTGGGCCCAGTGCCCTGTGTGGGCTCTGACTGCAACGACAGGAAGCTGTGAAGGCTACTGCCGTGCTGCACACAATTTCCACTTGTGATACAGCAATCTAATTTGTGCAACCACTGCACCAACCCCATGTAAGGCAGAACCATGTCCAACTGTTGCTCTGTTCATTCAACACATCTCAAGGGCCTCCTGTGTGCCAAAGAATTAATTCTAGGTCGGGGATTTAGCTCAGTGGTGTCACCACCTGCCTCACAAGTGAAAGGACCCGAATTTGATTCCCAGTACATCCCTCAAAAAAAGAATTAATCCTGAGCATCACTGCTGTTGAGAAAAGTTAAGAACAGCAGCCTGACTCTGCCCTCAGAGGTCTGTGTGCAAGGTGAGGATTTGGCTGGCCTCTGGAAAGTTGGACATGGGGGCTCCCCACTCC